TGTGGCTGTGGCTGTGGCTGTGGCTGTGGCTGTGGCTGTGGCTGTTGCTGTTGTGTTGCTGTTGCTGTTGCTGTTGCTGTTGCTGTTGCTGTTGCTGTTGCTGTTGCTGTTGCTGTTGCTGTTGCTGTTGTTGTTGTTGTTGTTGTTGTTGTTGTTGTTGTTGTTGTTGTTGTTGTTGCTGTTGCTGTTGCTGTTGCTGTTGCTGTTGCTGTTGCTGTTGCTGTTGCTGTTGCTGCTGCTGCTGTTGCTGTTGCTGTTGCTGTTGCGTTTGTTGCTGTGATGGTTTTGGTTTTGGATCAGCGCTTCAAGCATGTCCATGTGTTCGAATCCCTACTTCCCCGAAACAAACTCCTGCGGCCTGTTTACCGTCAAACCCAGACCATGGGTCCAAAACGGCTACCCATGTTGGCAGACGCAGAAACCAATAAATATTAGCTTGTGTGCTCCCCTGCAAATTCGCCAATCCCAAAACGGTTACCCCAGCGTTCAAACAAAAACGCCATTGTGGATCCTTCGGGCCACTTGAAGCAACCCTCGCCACTGGCGATCTCCAACGGTGCAAGCATAGCACAGACTTCTTCCGCCCGGCGCAAAGCCACCCCCACCACTCGCACAAAGACGAACCGCGGCAACAAAGCGGGGGCCCACCATCGCAAATGCCGGGCGGGTGCTATACAGAATATACGCGCAGTTGAGGTCGATGTGACCTTGCCAAGTGTTGTAAGATGTGCAGCGCGATGGAAAGGAAGCCGGCTGCGCTATTGAAACTTGCCGGGCCGAGAGGCCAAATGGCAACGGGCGAAGGAGAATGTCCTGAAGCAAGTTAGAGGTGACGACTGACCAATGCTTACAGGTTAAAAGACAGTTCGGCGACTGCTAAACCAAAGCAACATAAGCCTTCCAACGTGTCAATCGTAACAAGTCTATGGGACCTGTGTGCCATGCTCAGAACATGCACACGCCAATTCAACAGACCATCACATGTGGCCAATGCAAACGTAGACATATTTACAGGCGCATTGATTCTTTGACTTTTTGCCCTCTGCACCCAAAGGCAGCTCACTTTACGCCAAACAACAGCCAATCAGCAATCACATGTGCATGTTAATCAAGTGCATCTGCGGTTGGAATTCTGCATGTGCAGTACGAGATTATGTTGCTGATGTTTTTTGTGTCGAGGAGATCTTCAGGTCACAGTCAGTGGGAACTCTCCTCGTGGAAACTGAGGAACCCGCTGGGTTGCACATTTTGTCAAGCCAGCTGTCAAGCTCGAGTGATGCGTCAACCTGCCAGCTGCCTCCAAACATTGCCGGGGTGCGTGTATCTGGGGCTTTCATGTACGTAACCTGGCAGTTCTCCTTGCACATTGCTCTTTGCTCTAAGGGGGCCCCTGTCTGCATGAACACTGGCAACTGTTGAACACAAACCTGGCCGGAAACCCCACAGATACAGCCGGAAACCCATGAAAACCCCTCTCCCTTCATTAAGCCTTTTCAGTTCGGGTTTCCCGCGGGTTTCCACTATGCCCACAATACCGCACAGTGATGCGCGCTTGCCAGCCCCGCGGCGAGCCCTCCGACTTTTTTTCTCGCGGGACGAACGGGGGCGCATACTGCCGCGAACATCAGGCTCCCTTCAGCGGGCAGGCCTGGAGACGAGCTGAGCAAATGGCACCCCGGCAATCTCAGCTGGCAGTGGAACTCCCAAATAGGGATGAATTCTAACTAGGGACCCTTTGGTGACTTTGGTGGACATCATTTAGGTGGGGATTTATGTCCTTTTCAACCGCTTTTCGGGGGATTTCCCATTAATATTCACCCAGAACACAAGCGCAAGATGAAGCCATGTCCAGTGTTGGGGTATAAAGTGGAAAAGGGAAAAACAACTTTAATATTGCTGGTCCACCGCTCACTCGTGAGATACGGGACAAGTCATTTGCACGTGTGGGCCATGCAGGAATCCTTATACTAAATTGGAAGTGGGCAATGCTAAATCCGCCAGTTCTGAATCAACACATTTTCAGCCGATCTCAATTGCCGGCATATCGGGGGCTCGCCAAAAATATGCATCCTGATTGAACATTGATGTTCTGACTTAGTTACAAATTCATAGGCGCCTTTCAATTCTGCGTTGATAAATCCAAACCAAGGTCTTGAGCGAGTCCTTGCAACTCAACTACCTTCCATGGACTTGCTTTTTGCCTGAGGGATGCTCCGCATCTCTGAGGGTCCGCTACTACCTAATAAATTAGGTTAATTAGGAAGGGGTTGCAAATGCAGCCCCCCTTGGCGACACAGCGCAACTCCAATCCAAATCATCTGTCCCAACTTGCAGATTGAAGGCAGGGACCATCCCCACGCCGAGGTTAGCAGGGGCCAAGGGGAAATGGAGCCCCAAACGAACAGCACCGAATTGGCTCCAAGGACTCCGGGGCATTCCTAGAAGTGCACTAGGCAACTGAGGACACTGACAAGTTCTTGACTTGTGTCGTCCCTGCTACTTGCTTGCTTGCGCCTTCAATTTGACTTCCAGAGCACACACAAACACACACTCGTTGGCTATCCAGGGCCATGCAGAACTGTGCGCTCAGCTCCGAAATGAGCGAACAAGTAGGCATAATCGTCAGGTCTCGGCAATCGACTCATGCAGCCCGGGTACCGACCAACCCAGCTACTCGCCGAATCAACCAACCAACCAACCAGCCAACTATCCAACAATGCGGGACCCTTTGTCATTGGAGCGGCCGTCTAGTGGCGCCGTCATCATGTGCCCACTGACTGCAGTGACCTCTCGCATGCCGCCCCTTCCCTGCCTTTGGGAGACTCTGCCTATGGCAAACGAGATCGCCCCGAGGCAAGTGGCTGTTGAAAACATGGCAGCCCATATGCCCCTGCCCCATCCACCTCAAGTAGAACAAACAATCAACTCGCAGTGCGGGCACCGACAGCGTGCTTAATAAACATGGCAATTCCAAACGCGCGTCCTAGCATAGACTTAGCATCCACGGGAAGGATCTCTGGGGACGCTGCCGTGGAAGCCTATGCTGGCCAAACAAGGACGAAGTAGCAAATGAATTTGCGGGCTGGGAATTTCTAACAGAAACAGATGTATATACACAAATATAGCAGCCCAACTAATCGCCACTTTTGAAGCGCCCTTTGACTTTTCATGAGCTGCACGACGTCCCAACCTAATGTGATCCCCTTAGTAATCTCAACCTCCACAGCTCCGAGCAGACGTGATCAATGAGGCAAATGCCATTGCTCGCACAGAACAAGTGTGCCTAGCTACTCGTCTGTGTCCGGTGTTCTCGCAACATGCGAGCAACCCGCTGCTAACTTACTATCCAAATTGCAAAGCCACAGCTACAACCTCTGCATGAGACTTTCCCAGGACAACGTTCCGCGTCTGTGCCCAGGATGTACTTCATAGGCGACGGGAATGCTCGCATGGACCTGTTCTTGCACGGTGGGGGCTCCCCAAACAATTTCCACCAAGGCTGCTCGGATGCTTAGTGCAGTAGGCGATTGCTACTAAAGACAAAGCTGGCTAGAACCAACCCACAGGTTCGCTGCAATCTTGGCACGGCCGAGCAAGTTTTCTGAGGGTGGCAAGGTGGAAGGGGAAGTCAAGCCATCGGATCGTTTAGCTTTGGTGGTGCATCCCAGGCCAGCCATGGGGAGAAAAGGCACTCTTTTGTTAGTTGATGTTCAATTCAACCCCCCCGCCCCCCGAAAAAAGAAGAAGAACAAGCCACCACATTCTGAATTCTTGGCGTGCCAAGAAGGCCCCCAGAATCCTGAGCCGGCCATTTCTCCCCCAGAACCGGGGTCCGACCGAAACATCCGAATGGGCCAAGACGCATCTTCTCCGGCTGCAGCTGGCGCGTGGCAATTGCAAGTGATTGTCGCACGGCGTTGGAAGTATCTCTTTCTCTCATGGGGGCTGGGGGGGGAGGCTCAAATAGGCTTATTTGGACCTCCCAATTCCTCCCCCCTAGCCCCCATGACGGTTTAGGCAATTTCGTTCGGGCTCCTGGGAATTGTTGAGCTTTAGCAAGCCAGCACAGGTTCACGCGACCGCCTCCGGGATACAAATCGGATTCACACCTGCGCGCAGTGCTGTTAAACTTTTAGCTTCAATTCAGTTTGACCGTGGAAGCTGGATTTCTTTCCGGCATTTGGATGATCAAGCCTTTCCTGCATTTGGATCGGTGCATTCATTCCAGCTTTTCGAATTGCGTATGTATGTTTCTGGACGGGGATTTGCTGCTCCTTCGCCCCAAAAAAGCCCCAGGGTCTCGCCACTCTAACTGAACCCCTTGGAAACTTGTGGGGTCCTGGAGGTCGACATCTGACATCCCCTGTTTTGCCCAATGGAAAACACACATGCATACACATGCTCATGCAAACTCCAGGGTAACCAAAACTGAAAGGAAACGCACGAAACGAGCAAAGAATCGGCGGACGAGCAACTCGACAGTAGCACTCACTTATGCGGAAAAAAAAAAAAAAAAAACGAAAAGAAGAAGGACTTCTAAGAGCGCCAGGCTGAGTCTCGAGCCACAAAATGCACGGTAGAACCCGGGGTGGTTGCAGCCCAATCCGGGGCTGAGGTAGGCGCACCGAATTTGGCACATTAGGCTGATCTTCGCACACCCGAAGCCAAAGATGTTTAACATTCGCCACGCCAACTTGTGGCGAAGAAAACCCAGCCATTTTGAGGCAAGAAAGCCTTGTCCCATCCTGAGATGTTCTAAGGGCCATCACTGCACGGATGGCCAGCTATGCTCCCATTGGCTGGAAACCCAGGCAGCTTGCTATATGGATGAATGAAGCCAAGGGAGCCATTCCTTCTTCAGGGAGCAACTTAAACGAATGGCACGCACACACACACAAAAACACACACACACACACCAAGTTGCGGCCGGTTCCAGCCCCGAAGCTGTCAGAGAAAAAATGACACACCGAGTCAGCCGAAGCGACTGGCTCCCGTGCTTTTTCAGCCGACATGTCGCAGACGTCAAGCCCAGGTGAGCATGGCCCTAGCGCGGCTTCACCTCGGGGCTCGGGCCAACTCAGTGAACTCACACGACTTTCCAGACTTGCTCTCCATTCCTTGGTTGACGTTGGAAGGGGGGCAACAATTAAAATTTTAGCAGCTAAGTGGGGATTTCCCACTAAACCACAATAAGCAAAAATGTGAAATGCTTCTCAATAACAACCATGATTCGGGGGAGTCCTAAAACTATAGCCACCTTTTGGATGCGGCTAAAGTCAAAGGGAAGAAATTCCCGGTCTTGTGTGTCTCCCATCCTGGCCCCAAGCACGCCGCCAGTCTGATACGACACGGAAGATGTCGCAGCGAACGGCCCCCTGTCGGATGGTTCATCCAAGCCACAAACGGAGCCGAATCATCTGCTAACCATTTTAACCAACAAACGTACAATTACCCCACAAAGGGAGGGCACCACGCATGAAACATCATTTCAGGCACAGTTGTGCCATCTAGCGGAGTTTCCCCTTGGCAATCGGCAAGGGCCACCCAGGCATTGGATACAAGCTACGTTTCATTGCTAGTCCTTTGAAAAGAAAGCAGCTCCACGATGCTTTTGTTTTGACACACAGGTGCATCGGTCCGCGCAGTTCTTCTATCAAGGTATTTTGCCGAAAGGACATGTTGCTCTTGCGACCACTTGGGACTGACCAAAGCAATCTACATTGAATGCGACCAGTCCCGCCAAGCTCACTCAAAAGTTTTTCCAGGGAAGGAACCCTTTCTAGCCTCCAAATTTGCCCAAACACAAAAGGAACCTCATGGAACCTCAGTTTCTTGAAATACCCGAGGCCCTCTTTAGAAACCTGGCAGCAGATCCCACCTTTTCAAACATGCTCCAAAAGTGGGTTTGCTGTTGGGTCAATGGCCTGCCTGAAAGGGGGAATCTTGTTTCGTTCAGTTTAAAGGACAAATGCTGGAAGGGTGTTTGCTCCGTGCTCAGATATGGACCTCACTGGCTAGGTCTGCCGATTGCCGATCTGTTGGCATCATGGGCCCAAGCCTAAGATGCCCTGGGAGTCAGTCAACTCCGCTTGCAAACAGGGCTCATGAAATGCAGCCCACAAAATCATCCCAAAGAAAGAGGGCGGGAATGAGGCTTGTGAAACGCAGTGCTGGCAGTGCCAATGTCCTGACCGATAAGTCTTGTGGGAGATCATGGGGCATATTGTGGAAATGGCTTGTGGGACGTGGTGTCTTGCGTTCCGTTTGGAGCCAGGGTTTTGTGGGGCCAATCCTGGCCTTTCCAAGCCCAAGCCGCAAATAGGGATCCGTGGCCACCTTGTCCTGGGCCTTTTCCTGAGCGAAAATTGATGAAAGGTGGTCTCCAGGTGGTGGCATAGTCAAAACCCGGTATTGAAATGGTCGACCCAGAACCATGCTTCAAGAATTAAGAAGGCGGATATCCGCAGCTTGTGCCCCTTACTAACCTTCATCTATCCGGGCTTCGATTGTGGCTCAGGTGATGAAGCACCTTTGCTTTCGTGACTTGACTCCTCCCTGTCAGCACGCAGGCTGTGAATGACTTGCTTGTGATCAAGCCACCGGTGCGACACACTCCCAACACTCCACGCGGGGCAGGGGGACTGCTTGCGTCAAAGCGCTGCGCAAAAATATGCCCAATGGAAGCTGGGAAAACTCTGGACGGCTGGATGCATGTTGCACGCTGCGGGTGCCTAATCGTACAAACCAGACTCCAGCTTACGATCCCGCAAGCACAAAACAGCCAGGGTTTTTCCCATCCATCCTCTACAAGAACTAGGGGTTCCAATCCCCAAGCCAGCATTCCAAACCACCAATTGACTCAGATGCACAGTGGGAAAGCGTTCATTTGTTTGTTGGTTGAAAGAGAACCCTTCCCAGAAAGACGGAGAAAAAGACGAGGAGAAAAAAGGGCCGAATCCACTGGGAAGTGGGTTAAGGGTAGTTTGAGAACTCGAGAGGGGGTCTCGCCTGAATGCTTTGGCCCGAGCAAGGTGAAAGTGAAAGTTTATCATTATCATCATCCAATTGTTGATAATAACCCATTGGAATCAAATAAAGTTGTTGAGTTGATTCATATTGATACTGGTGATACAACAGGATCCAATGGCTGCGGGTCAAACATAAGTACCCAAAATGGAACCCTGGCAAATGGAAACATGGACGATTTAACCTGCGGTCCGATTCCTGTTGGTTTAATTTTGACCCATACCCAACTCGACGGCCAGACCAGGTGTTTTTTCAGCATGGGCAGAATGGGCAGAATGTATCTTGTAAGGAGCCATGATCATTCTTGCTGGTTTAACTCAACTAAACCAGCGCCTGCCCGCGCCAAGCCTCGGAGGTGCGAAACCAGCGGTGAGCGCCACGCCGCGCCAGGAAGCTCTGACGCCGCCGGCGCACGGTCTGGCGCCTGGCGACAGGCCCGCCCTGGGGGTCAAACGAATACAACCGCCCCCAACGGAGTCTTGAGGGTGTGCTAAGAGCTTAAACCTGTCTGTCGGCGCAATGTGGCCCACATTGTCAGAGCTGCAGCTTCCGCAGTGAGGGTTGCAAGCTCTGCTGTACAAGGGGAAATCACTGGGAACGAATACAGAGCCAGCCAGCATGCCAACGAACACAACCAAACACGAACAAACAAACCAAACTAAACCAAACAAACAAACACACAACACAACACAACAACACAAAACAGCACAACGCAAAACAACACAAAACAGCACAAAGCAAACAAACAAACAAACAAACAAACAAGCAAGCAAAGCAAAGCAAAGCAAAGCCAAGCAAAACAAAGCAAAACAAGCAACCAAGCAAACAAGCAAGGAACAACACACGCAATCAAGCAATCAAACAACCAATCAGGCAAGCCAACAAGAAACACATTCCCGATTAAACAAACACAACAACAAACATACAAACAAACACACACACACACACATGTCACATAACCAAAGATGAGCCATAAAGAAAACAACAACAAACATAACACACACACACACACCAGGGAAAACCGACAAAACAAGCAAACAAACCAAACCAACAACACACAAACAAAAACAAACACAAAGAAACAAAGAAACAAAGAAACACACAAACAAACAAACAAACAAAAAACAAACAAACAAACAAACAAACAAACAAACAAACAAACAAACAAACAAACTACTAAGCAAAAAAAGAAAACCAAGAAAGAACCATACAGAACCACCAAACAAACAAACAACAAAGCAGACAAAAATACAAACAAACAAACAAACAAACAAACAAACAACCAAACCAAACCAAACCAAAAAACAAACAAACAAACAAACAAACAAACAAACAAACAAACAAACAAACAAACAAACAAACAAACAAACAAGAGAGAGAGAGAGAGAGAGAGAGAGAGAGAGAGAGAGAGAGAGAGAGAGAGAGAGAGAGAGAGAGAGAGAGAGAGAGAGAGAGAGAGAGAGAGGAGAGAGAGAGAGAGAGAGAGAGAGAGAGAGAGAGAGAGAGAGAGAGAGAGAGAGAGAGAGAGAGAGAGAGAGAGAGAGAGAGTACCAGAGCCACAAACCGGGCAGCCTCCCCCCAGCGGTTGCCCGCCAGGGATCAGGCCCGGCGGGACTGGCTCCGCAAGCGTCATTGCCAGCCAAGCAGCTAGAAAAAAGCAAGGGGGGGAAGGGGGGAGACCGGTGCGTTACTGAAAATCGCCCCGAAAGAGGGGCCGGGTGCGTTACCGAAAATCGCCCCGAAAGAGGGGCCGGGCGCAGGCCGAACGGCCACATGCCCGGATGTTGTGCCCGGAAAGCATCCACAAGCCCCAGAGCACTAAGGCATCTCCCGGCGGGTCCAGGAAGGTCCTGCTCCCTTGCCTCCCAAGTTGCCTCCCAAGTTGGGTCCTTTGCCACCCGGGCCCGAGCTCGAAGCACTGCGGCCACCTCGATCCACCCTGGCGTGAGCCTGCACCACCCGGGCCGAAGCCCGCGGAGATCCACCCAGGCGTGAGCCTGCACCACCCGGGCCAAAGCCCGCACCATCCAGGCCTGAGCCCGAGTCTCCGCGGCCACCTGCCCGACTGCGTCCAGATCCACCCAGGCGTGAGCCTGCACCACCCGGGCCGAAGCCCGCACCATCCAGGCCTGAGCCCGAGTCTCTGCGGCCACCTGCCCGACTGCGTCCAGATCCACCCAGGCGTGAGCCTGCACCACCCAGGCCGAAGCCCGCAATCACGCCACGAATAAAAGAATGCGAGAAGGTCAACTGCCTGAATTGTCGAATGCAGATGGTGGTTAACTCTGCCGCTGCCTGCGCCGCTGCTTGGCCAACAGAGGAGAGAACAAAAAAGAAGAAGAAAGGAAGAAAGGAGAGAAGGGAGAGAGGCACTGTCGCTCCGAGGGCCAACAGGGAATCATGAACCAGGTGCTCATCGGACCGAAAAAGAAGAGAAGGGGCGAAAAAAGACAGAACAAAAGAAAAAACAAAGAGCCCGGTCCTTAGTGCCGCCCCTGGGGTCACTGGTCCACGCATCATTCCCCATTGAAGGCCGCCCCCGGACCCAGGGGACAAAAACAAACAAACATAGAACCACCAAAGAAACAAACAAACAAACAAACAAACAACAAACAAACAAAGAAACAAACAAACAAACAAACACACAGCGTACGGAACGAACAAGCAAGCAAGCAAACACAAAAAAATACGGAACCACCAAACTAACAAACGAACGAACGAACGACCATTCAACCAACCAACCAACCAACCAACCAACCAACCAACCAACCAACCAACCAACCAACCAACCAACCAACCAACCAACCAACCAACCTACCAACCTACCAACCTACCAACCTACCAACCTACCATTCAGCCAAACACACACAAAAACAAACAAAACACAACACACACCCGCAAACACACAAACACACCAACAAATAAACACACAAACACACAAACAAACAACCACACAGACAAACAAACAAACAAACAAACAAACAAACAAACAAACAAACAAACAAACAAACCGACAAGCAAACAAGACGAGCAAGCAAGCAACCAAGCAAACAGGCAAACAAAGAAACAGACAAACAAACAAGACGAGCAAGCAAGCCACCAAGCAAACAGACAAACAAGCAAACAAACAAACAAGCAAACAAACCAGACCGCAAGCAAGCAAGCAAGCAAGCAAGCAAGCAAGCAAGCAAGCAAGTAAGCAAGCAAGCAATCAACGAAGCAAACAAACAAACAAACAAACAAACAAACAAACAAACAAACAAACAAACAAGCACGAAAGCAAGCAAGCAATAAGTAAGCAAACAAACAGACACACCAAACAAGCAAGCAAGCAAGCAAGCAAGCAAAAAAAACGAAAAAAAAAAAAAAAAAAAAAAAAAAAAAAAAAAAAAAAAAAAAAAAAAAAAAAAAGCAAGCAAGCAACCAAACAAACGAACGTGCAAGCTAACACGCAAGCAAGCAAACACAAGAGCAAGCAAGCCACCAAGCAAGCAAGCAAGCAAACAAGCAATCAACGAAGCAAACAAACAAACAAACAAACAAGCAAACAAGCACGAAAGCAAGCAAGCAAGCAAGCAAACAAACAGACACACCAAACAAACAAACAAGCGCGCAAGCAAGCAAGCAAGCAAGCAACCAAACAAACGAACGTGCAAGCGAACACGCAAGCAAACAAATTCAAGAGCAAGCAAGCCACCAAGCAAGCAAGCAAACAAACAAGACAGGCAAACAAACAAGACAAACACGCAAACACACACACAGAGCCAGGACCTTCAGGATTGATTTCGCAAGGTAGCCTCCTGACCAGTCCCCTCTCCCCGGACCAGGAAGCAAAACTACTTTGGGAGATCTCAAAAGAAAGCTCAGCATGGTCAATCTTCAACCCCAATTTGATTTGATTTTTCGTCTTTGTTCTATTGGTTCATTTCAGGCCAGGGAGACGTCTCCGGTCCCCAAACGTTGACCTCAGTCAGTGGGTCTCGTCCGAGGCGCCACTCCCGTGCCAACTGCTCCTCCTCCTGCGGCCCGCCCTGCTCCTCCCAGGCCTCTTGCTGCTTCTGCTCCTTTCGGCAGCTCCGTGTGGTGCTCTTTGCGAAATGGAGCCAGCAACAGGGATCCTTACATTATACACCTGAACATTGCCTTGTAAATGGTGGTGTCCCTTTATTTGGGTGGAAAAAGCCATGTTTCAAATGGGCAACATGTATCTTTTAAGGAGCCCTGAGCAATGATCTGGGTATGGGTTAAAATTAAAGAGCCGGGGTCAAGCGGGGTTTTGTCTTTGGTTTCATTTGCCAAGGTGCCATTTTGGTACCACTTTTTGAGCAGCCATATGGGACCTCCAAAATGTTGGTTTTCCGGTTAGGTCCTTGAAACACATGCACACACACACACACAAGACGGGTACCCTCCAAAAAAAACACCCATATGCCAAGGAGCCCCCCCCCTCCCACCCCACCCCTTGTCCACTTCCAAGAAAAGACACAGGACCTCCTGGAACCCCAAAGGATCTCTCGGAACAGCCCTCCGGACCAGGCGGCACCGGTCAATTTGACGCAAGGCGCACGCTGGTCCGTTCCGTGTCTTCAACTCGTGTTTACTCCCATGCAATGATACTGTGGATGGACGAAATCCTGCACCACCCAAGAAACTCTGGGAGAATGATTCCCCGGAAAAACACAATTGCACAACGGTTTCCCATGGTTTTCAAGTGGTTCTGGATTTCGTCCATCCACGGTATCTTCTCAAAGGGGTGCCGACCGACTCCTCCAGCTGTGCTTGCCGCTCTGACTCGCACAGCGCCACCGCCAGAAAGGGCTGAGCAGCGAGGGAAGCAAACAATTCACGAAGCGCGTGTGCATGGTGCCGAGGCAAAGGCAATGGGGACATGCGATTGAGCAGCGCTCAAAATCAGTCAGACCTTGTCAGTTTTGTACATGCAGCTCCATACTTGCTTCCTTGCAACTTCTATTTCACCCAGTTAGATGCTTGCACCAACCGTTCTCTCAAATTGGAGCCTGCTCTTATCTTTGATGAAGAGGCGTGGCCTTTTCGGCTTGAATGTCTCCTGGACAAGTTGTTTAGGATCCTCTTGCTACAGTGCTTCAAGCAGCTAGTCTCGCCTTGTCACCGCTGGCCCCACTGCCGCATTCTTACACTCACCCACTTCACTTGACGTCCACCAACAAGCGTTCGTACTCCTTACGCGAAGGTGGATGCACGCGAGCAACACGGGTCATGCCGAGGATGAGCACTGACCCACAGCCTTGCTGAAGATTCTCCACTGCTCTGTAGGTCAATACTTGCCAAAACCGGAGCGGGAATCCCAGCCAGCACTGCAGCACATTCACCAGTTGCACTGGGAACCCAGGGCGTGGGAATGAACCGGAAGGGGATTCCCTTGAAGGAAACCATACGGAATGGTTTATAGAGGTCATTCTTCCCTGCTGAGAACTTGCCAGAAAAAAGCCGGCAAACAAAACCAAATCGGGGGCGTGGCATCACCGTCCCACTGCCTGTGGCTCCATCTGCTGCAGGAGTAGCCACTCCACCCTCTGGGCTTTGCTCTTGCTCTCCAGCTTGCCTCCGGTGAGCCACCCACTCCCCACACTCCACATTGACATGTTGCAAACATCACGCCTACTTGCAGGTACCTTTTCGCTTGTTCCACAGAAGGGGGGGGAAATGTCAACCGAACAGGTCCACCTTGGATGGCCTGGAAGTCCCACACGTGAAAGAATCCTCTCATGTGTGGCAGCGCTTGTCCCCTCAAGCAAGACAAACCGCGAGCGCTTTCCATAATCCCCCGTTCAAAGGAGAGGGTAGCCCTTGCCTCATAAGAAGCAAAGCTTTAGGAAGGGGAATGAAGCCATGCACACGGGAAGCGACCTCGCCGACTCGGAGCGACCTTCCTGGTGTCGAGTGTTTGGCGAAAACTGAACTGACCAATGGCAAACTAGGATTCATGCCTACCTGATCCTTGGAACAAAAGGGACCCCTGGAGAGGCGTGTCTTAATACACGATTTCACCCACAAAAACTGTTGGGACCCTCAGCAGGCTTCGGCATCCCTTAAACTGCCCCCCCCTCCTGTAGGTCCGCGGGAATGGGCGGAGCCCCTCAAGCCCCCTCGAGTAAATCCACAGCGCTGCCATTTGAAGAACAGAAACCCCAGAGCTGAAGTTTGAAAGGAGCTCCCCTCCATTTGCCTGCCGTCTTCAGCTCCTCCGTCTCTTGTGGCACCTGGCTGGGTCTCTGCTTGCAGTTGATCTACTTGCAGCATCTACGGGGTGTAGTGTGCATGGGGTCAGGTAAAGGCCATAGGGCGGGTTTGAGTTCGAGGGGTGGGTTTAGGGTTGGGTGTGATTTTGGGTGTGGGCTTAAGGTGACTTGGAGGTAGGTTTTAAGATAGCTTTGGTTATAAACAGCGAGGGGTTGGCTACAGGATCCGTGGGTTTCGCAGTTTCCGAATTCCGCCCCCGGACCACTAGTGGATTTCCACAAAGGACGCCTTTGTCAACAGGTCTTGCCCCTTGAAACAGCCCAAAGAAAGTGCTGCTCTGACCTGCGGATTAGGGAGAACCAGCAAGTTGCACCTTCTTTGGATCGTGTTGATTTCGGGTTTTCCCACCCTGACATCTAGCTGTCCAAACCTCGCGAGGGTCCTCAAAAAGAGAAGCATGCAATACCTTGCAGGCAGCCGCCTCTCATGGTTGTCACGCCTGCCTGCGCAGAAAACCAGAAAAATCTCAGATGCATCACCGAAGGTTGGGCCTGAGAGTTTGCGAAGGCATCCCTGCAACTAACTTCAAGCGCCTGGGCGAGTTCTAGGCCTCCAATGGCCGGGGTTCAGCGCCGAATACTGGGAGCTTCTCAAAACCAAGTCAGTAGGGTGGTCGCACCCGCCCACAAAGCAAGTTAAGCACCTCTTGGCCACTCCATGAAGCCACCCTGTGAATCCACACTACGAGTAGGTCCTCCAGTAGAGAGGCTAGAATAAGTTGGTACCAACTTTTTTCTGTAGTCTATTTAGGGGAACCCTCCCAACCAAAAAAGAAACGGTGAGAAAGGGCACCTAGCCGGGGGACCGAATCCAAAAAGGAAAAACCTTGGTTGCTGTTGACCCCCCTGCAAAAAGTGTTTAACTTTTTGGGGGTTCAGTGGAAACCCCCTTTATCTTCCAAAAAGTGAAAGTCTAAAGATCCATTACCAAATAGTATCTGTAGTCTATTTAGAAGGGGAACCCTCCCAACCAAAAAAAGAAACGGTACAAGGGCATCTAGCCGGAAGACCTAGCTAATTCAACCAAACCTTGGGCACCTCGCTGGCAAACCTAGCACAAAGGAAGAAACCCACCGCCGAGCTTCCGGGATCCACGCTGCCACCCCCCACCCCTCCAGCCTCCGCCTCACCAGCCTCGGCCTCGCGTGTAGCCTCCTCTGCCTGCCGAACGGCGGTGACACCCATATCGCCATGGGTCAAAACCGCCTGGCATAGGATTTGTTTTTAGTTTTTGAGGGGTTCTTTTCTTTTCTGTGCTTTTTCTGGACTTGCCTTTCACCCCCCCCCCCTCAAAGCGCCGTTCCCTCAGTGCACTTGGCAAGCCGCAAAGACAAAGACCCAACCGGACGACCACCATCTTGGAGGTCCCAAAAAGAGGCACCCATATGGCTCTGGGTCAAAATCCCGTACCCCCGGTGAACATCCCAATCCAACCACTAAAATCCCGACTACAATGGGTGGTGCACCTACCCCAAAATGGTACCAACCACTAAAATAGGTCCTAAAATGGGTGGTGAATTCACCTACCAACCAAAATGGGATCCCAAAACGCATTGGACAACCACAGCCAAGTTGGCCCTTGTGCCCAGGCCTCGGACATTGGAAACAATGAGAGACTGAAACAAATGAGCCTTAGGTGAGGTGAGCTGGCCGTGACCAAAGGATTGCAGTCTTCATGGAATTGCTTGGTCCGTTGTTTTTAAGGACAGGGTTCAGGTCTGCAATCCCACAAACGCAACCAACAAAACCAAGAGTCGGGCTTGTATTTGGCTGTGGCTCAAAAAAAGGTACCCCAAAATGGAACCCTGATAAGTGGAAACATGGACCAAAATATGCGGTCCCCTGTTGGTTTAATTTTGACCCACACCCATTTTTGTTTTACCCAGCGGAACGTGGCATGCTTGCCATGAGCCCCTTGAGCAGCATGAAGGCCTCCTTCTTGCGCCGCTCCACCAGGCGTTTCAGCGCCAGCTCGCTGGAAGGCCTGCCGGAAAACTCCTGACTCCTGCCGCCTGCCGCCTGCCCTGGCGCGGTGACCCTCAGATAGGGAGCCTTGGGACCAGGTTGACCATGCCCGGTGGCGAAACCATGCAAATGATCTTATCAGGTACTGGCCCAGGATAATGAACGGTTGCTTTTCACAAGTGTGTGTTACCCTGGCGTCTTCCAAGCAGCGGTCGCAAGTTCCCTGATCTTTTCTGATCGGAGCAAGGGTTGGAAGGCTCACTCGGCAGCCCGGGTGCTAGAAGTGCCGCGCTTCCGCGCCTCTCCCAGCTAGCAGCCACATGTTTCCAAAGGGATCCAAAAGGGCAGCTCATTTCATTGAGACTGCCTTCGCCACCCGGGCAGCACACTCGAACAGTCCAAAGAGCAAGAGAGAATGCCAGACTCAACATGGAAACAGCCGCATTGGTGTGAATAGCCAGCATTGAGAATGGTCCTTAGTTTGAACTCGCTGGTTTCTATGTGTTGCCCAGGCATTCCGATTACCAGCTCTCAGGCCCTAAACGGCTACGTGCCACGTCCTCCTCCGAAAGTTGGCGGCGCTCAACCTCTTTTCTCAAGCTGTGTCGGAAGGTGAGGAACTGGTCACCAGCGTCTAACTGCTTGTATGACCAGGTCAGGGCGCAAAGGCCCCAGGAATTGACTTTGCCCACCATGAGGGACAACTTCTTGGCTGTGACCCACAGCATGTCATCATGGCCTGCTACCTGCAACCTCCCGAAGGCGCAAAGCAAAGATGGCAAAGTGAGCTCAGCCACTTTTGGCTGCCAAGCCACGGCTTCATGAACCACTTTTGCTGCTACGGCATCGAACAAGGCCACATCGTGATAACCGCTGAGTGCAAGACCCCAACAAGAATTGGCAAGCTGCTGTGGCGAAGCTGTCGGCAGCGCCACCGCTGCGCGCGCCACCACAAGCGGAAGCACTTTGCGCAAACCGTCTGACAGCGCATCATGGCTGGGATCAAGTGAAAGCTGCCCAGTGGCCCACATCATGTTGGAAACGGCCTGTGCTGTCATCTCTGATATCACGGCCGGAATCCTGCTATCTAATGCTGGAAGAACGCTCAACAAAGCTGCGGACTCAGCGCTGCTCCTGGCAAGCTTCGCGACTGCCCAAATCACATTGGTCACTGCCTGCTCCGTCATCTCAGGTGCCACGGCCGGGACCCTGCCTGCCAACGTAGGTAGCGTGCTCAACAAAATGGTGGAGCAGGAGTCGGCTGTGGCTAGCTTTACCACCGCCCAAATCGAATTGGCAATATGTTGCTCATTCATGTCTTTCGCAGTGGTATTGACAGCACCTGCCAAGCTTTTCCACAAGGTGACCTCTGGGGAGCGACCCTGAAGCCTCGCCATTGCCCAAAGCATATTCGCCACTGAGCGCGAGCCCAACGGGCCTCTGCAAGAACATATGCGTCAGCCTAAGAAGCATTGAGAATGATGGAGAGGCAGCCACTTCAGTATTGATGCTACGCTGGAGTTTTGCAAGACTGGTCCACGCTGCAGAAATGGCAATCAAATCCATGTTCGGGTTTTCGTGCTCTAAATCCATAATGGCCAAGACTTGTGTCGCTGAAACAGCATTCTTGACTCGGCTTGTGATGGCCTTGGCAGATGTGTAGGCATCGTCCGACTTCCTCCGGGGGCTTCCCTGGCGCCTTTCCCGCACACGCAGAACGATGCGCTTCTCTCGCCGCTGGCAATGGCGAAGGGCAGTGAAGGACCAGTGGCACACGGTGCTGCAATAGCACAGCAGCAACACCAAGCAGCGCATCTGAGCCATGGCCGTAGGGCCTGTGTTGCTGGGCCCCCCTGCTGGTCGATCTGTTGCGGCTTGTGCACATGTCGTCTCTGTCTGTGTGTCTGTTCGTGGGCGCATGCAGGGCTCTGACCCCATGATGGATTCAAGAAATCAGCCAGCATAGCAACACCACGTCACACAAATGTCGCTAGCTGCGGGGCGCGCTGCGGAGGTCTGAACGTCGAGTCATTCACTTCTCAGCTTGCCTCAACTCAAATAAACCCGTATTAAGACCTGAATAAGGCCTCATTGAGGACGAATTTGGGTTTCCCCCCCTCTCCCTCCCCCTAGCCCCCATGATCAACAGATTCTGCTTTCCTGTTATTGAAGGGCCAGGGACACCAGTCACCGACGACAATATCTACATGGAAAACCACCTTGAGATGCGGGCTTGCCTGGCGTAGGGTGACATAATTTGGGTGCGCCCTTGCGATAATTCCCTGCGGCTTCCATGACGCAGCCTCCATTTGGACCGCTTGACTTTCGGCTCCAGCTCCTGCCATGAGGTCATGAGGTCACCAATTACCACAGTGCCAGACTCGCAGGCGTGCGGTGCGCTGTAAACGAGGTTGCGCATCAGCGTCTAGGCGCTGGTGGCCGCTGGCCAACGCACACTTATAACTTTGCTTTGTCGGTTGGTGTCCTCGTTGAACTCCTGGATCGGCATATCCAGAAGGTCACCTGGCAACTTGAAATGAAAGACTGACACCTCGCACTTTGCTGGTTGGGTTTGAATCTTGAAAGAAGCCATGGAGGCCCGGATTGCTGAACCGTGCCTTCTTCGACTGGCATGACCACAAGGCCGCAAGCAAGCCTTGTAAGAACCGGCCAGCGGCACTCTTCACATGACCTGCGAATGACTTCATGTTCGGATAGAATCCAAGCAGACCTTCGTGCCAAAGCTACCTTAGAACTTGCATCCTCTTTCGTCAACAGCAACAGGCGTTAACAGGCGCCTCATTTCGCAACCTATCCAGGGGCATGCTTGTTCGTTCCAACGTCAGCCTTGGCTGATTGAAGCACACGCCAGTCCAGCCAAAAGGGCATCAATACCCTTCACTCTGGTCCCTGCCCTTTGTTTGCACAAGCTCAGAGATTGGCCAATCATCCGCTGAAATTCAAGCACAGCAAACTCAGCAATGGAATCATTGGATGCCCTGACAGCCCGCCAGAATGGACACCCCGAAATTGTGGAGGTAGCGTCGATGGCCTTGTTCACTGCGGAAAACCTGGGGGCTGGTCTCATTGACCCTCGAGGCCTTGCAAGCAAATGGAGCAAATCCAGCGCTGTGGATAAACCAAACCCGCTGATTGTTAGAACTTGATTAGTGAACCCCCCGGTTTTCCCAAACCTCGCCGACCTTGAGGGGGGAGGTGGGGAGGGGGGGGTTATGAATCAACTTCCAACATGCAGACCACCTCGTTCCATCACCGCGCTCGCCTCAAGCCCCGGCCTACCGGTGTCGAAGGGATGTGGTCGGCCGGAGTGGAGGGGATCAAGTGGTCCTGGGTGACGTGCGCGAAATCCGCCCGAAGGAGAAGACGCCGTCCAGACGTTGCAGTCAAGTTCAAGTCGATACTCAAGCTCTCACAGTCACAAGTTTCGGGTTTCCGACTTTCACTCCCCTAAGCCTAGCAGGTGAAGCGGAAACGGCGTTGCCCCTGGAAAGAAAACCACCTCTTCCTGACGAACAGGAAATTCCCCTAGCAGTGTAGAAACCAAGAGTGAGAAGGGAGAATCCCGTTCTTGCACCATGTGCAGCTTGTGGAAG